GGGCTGAGGTTCTGCGTGAGGACAGCAGATGTCAGTGTTGCTCTGTGGTGGACATCAAACCCTCCTTTTAAAACTCATTTCCACACAACAATTCTCCGTTTAAAATGCACTCAGTTGGCCCATAATATATATAACTGTGTCTTTTTAAATATAAACCCTACATGTTTATCGACTTTGTGGCTTTACATCAAATAAGCCTACAATTCCGAACTCTGTTTGCACTCATTCTGCTGCTGGTTAATTTAAATCCTGGTATAACTCACATTTATACATTTTAACCAAGGGCTTCATAACTCAGTATAACTTTACAATCAAAACATTGCACACTGCATTATTATCAAATAGAGAGTAGAAGCACCAGGCAGAGGGATTTTTCACAACATGACAACCCAAAAGTGGTTAATGTGTTATGACTAATATACAACACATTAGTTTATGATTTATTAACCATTTATAACAGCATTAGTTACAACTGATCTATGTCTGTGTAAAATGGCAGTTTCTTATAATCCCAGGAAAAGTGGGACCAGCTAGATGTTTGGTATGACAGTAATATATATAAAAAATGAACTACACAAAACTAAACTATAAACCTTTAATAAAGGGTGGCTTATGAGAAATGGCATAGTTCTAGTCATAGTCATAGTCATAAATATCAGTCTAATCTTTATTACAGTTTTAACACAGTTTGTTACTCAATGTGGAATCTGATATATGTAATGTTTAATGATGTTATCATATGTACTGTTCACACATTCTTTATCATAGTGCATGAGCTCTGCTGAGATTTTAAATTATATCCTACGGCCAAAGATTATTTAGGTGAAAATAATACATAATCCTAGGACAATAGTGGAAGAATACTATAAATCCATCACACCTATTAGTCCTCCTATTATCATACATTACATACTATATCTTACCTCTAAGTAAATTAAGTAAATTAGCAAACACACTATTGTCTGTGTAGGAGTAGAGAGAGGGCCCTTTTTTTGTTAGAACAGCTCAATTCATAATTTGTTTCATAGGTTTACAACATTTGCATTGATCAATATTTTAACTTTAGTGAATTAGCTAGAATAAGACATTAAATACAATCTAATTTATATCATGTTTCTTTGAAGATTTCACCACAAGATGGAACCAAATATCTCACATTCATTTTTAAAAACCCAGAGCTGGCAACGCCCCCCCCCGACTGAATTATCTTGGATTAGCAAATGCTTTTATTACACTTTAAGAAATGCAAATATATTGGCATAAATGTATTAATAAACACAGCACTTGTGGCAAGAGCAAAGTACATGCAGATATTCAGCAGGAGTGAGAAGAGGCGATGTTTGGGGCAAACGTTGCATATTTGTTGTCAAAAGTTTGTTTGTGAGCCATAAATTCATTAGGACTGTCATGCTCAGTTAAGAGAAACTCATTAAGGCACCACTTAAGTCCCCCCACTGTCCACATTGTTTAGTTAAACACTTATTACATGCACCATTAGTTTTGATTTCGGCCTATTAAAGAGATTAAATGATTGATCAACAGCCGAGGGATAAAAACAAGCCCTTCACTGCACTGAAGAAGCAGGAGAGAAGCACGTCAGACCCAGCAAAGGCCTCCGTGACAGGAACACGCATCTTGTTGTTTTGTTTATTTATGACTCTGCAGGGTGAAATTAAAAACATTAAAATCAACCAGAGAGAGAGAGAGAGAGAGACTAGTTAAATTATACCATATTTAAATCATAGCAGAGTAACATAAAAATACAGCAAAAAGAGATATTAAAATAATCTCATTAATTATTTGATACTTACTGTATAATATCACTTTATTTTGTAGATCCATAAAAAACATGTTCAATAACATTTTTACAAATAATAAAATACCTATAGATAGAAAGAATAAAAAAAAGGACAAGAACAATGTTAATAACAGATTGATAATAGTTATGTTAATTGTAAATATTATTATTTCCTTATTAGCATACAGAGATTAAGGTCTGGAGTCAGTAAAACAAGTTCTGCAATATTCTGAACTCCACAAAATGTGAACTTAAATAATTTATTATATGTTTTGTTTTGAAATTTGATGATTATTTAAATGCAGTTCAAATGCACTATTAACTTGGGGTTTGAAATAGTGCCTTTTTAAGACTTCACATAGTCGGACTTTAAAGTTCAAACTTCCACGACTCTGAAACTGGTCCAAAGTTTAGACATCAAAGAATTTGGAGGGCCAAGCCAACATCAACATAACGAGGAAATATGTGTCCTTCTGCATCAGTATCTGCAAGCGTCCTGATGTTTGGGCTGCAGTTTGCATGCGAGAGCCCGTTGCACGAGAGCAGATCATGTGTTTCTCTGTATTTCTGTCCCACAGGTCTATTAAGTGAATTCAGTTTTTTATTTGACACCCCTGCACACAACACAAAGCCCTTCTGCACTCTCCAGATATTGTCACTAAAAAAGAAAAGACAATGTTCAAAGTTATAAGAGAGAATTGAAACTTATTCATGGTAAATATATGCAGTTATATATTTATCAGTAGCTGTCTACATTAGATAATAGCATTTTAATTCGGCTCAGGCTTAAAAGCCTTTCATTAAACTTTTATTAAATTCAGTTCAGTTAGTTACAGTTCAGCATCTGTTTAGCTGAGTTCATTAGTTTGTTATAGACAATGACAATATTTACATAATCCTATTGCTGTAAGTAGTTTAAACAAATAGTAATACAAATGCTACGCTATATATAGTTCAGAATGATGAGATTTCAGTTTATACTGTTTAATTTGTTTTAGTCTTGTTGAAGAATATGAATGAAGCTAAAATTAATTAATGACTCATAAATTGTTCATATTTTCCCTCTTGACCCCAATACATTTATTTGTCCTGCATAAACATAATTAATGTATATAAAGATATATTTCCTGTTACAGGGTTTCTTTGAATTATCCTTGTCTATACTACAACCAATCCACTGAGTCATTGTTTTGTACATTTGTACTGTTCCTGAGCATAGTGTGCCCTATAAACATAACCACATCTATTTTCCTTGTCATATAAGATACAATCTCCCTCTCTCATCTTTTTGTTACACTTCCACATATGATCTGTACACACAGGACCAAAGCAGCAGTGTTTCACCCCCCCGTGCGTACGTGCTCGCCCGTATCCAGATGATCTCCTGCAGCTCTTCCACAAATGGTGCTTCAGCTGTGCAGTGGGAGGTCTGTGAGAGTGGTTTACCAAACATGCCCACTGGCCCTGCGAGCTCGCCCCGGTGACGCTCTTGCCTCCGTGTCTCTCTCCTCCCCGGCCCGACCACACCGCCCCGGTAACGACGGCGCTTGCATTACCCACTGGGTATAATTATTCTGCATTTTGCTGCTCTCCATTCTCTCTCTCTCGTCAGCTTGGCTGGGTCTTGACACCGAGGTCCAGGCGGAGGGCCGCAGGGCCGCTGCTTTGTGTTCACAACGCACTGAACGCCACTCACTGCACCGTGGCTCTAAACAGGTGGGGGGTGGTGATGCGAAAGGGGGGAAAGGGAAGGGAAGGAGGGGGGGTGTTACTCACTGGATGCCAAGGCCTCTGGGCCTGAGGAGAGGTGGGGGTGGTTGGAGAGGACCTGCTGCCCAGCAACCCACCTACCC